TCATGCAAAGCTTGAAAAACCCCTCCTGGTCTAATTCCTGCTTTGGGTTTTTCAGCACCTTCTTGCATTTTGGGTTTGGTTCAAGACATCAAGGCTTTTACTGGGTGGAGCTTCTGGCTTCTGAATTCCACCCTTGGGGTTGAGACCTCTTTAGAAGTAGCAGCCGGGGTCTTCCCTGCTCCCTGGCTGGTGAGGGAGCCCTGCCTCTTAAAGTCCAGAGTGGGCTTGGCTGATGCCGAAGGAACTTCGAGGTGCCCACCCATCCTTCCCGAACAGCAAGGTGGGGGCACCGCCGGCTCAGGGCTCACCCAGGTGCACGTGCAGGGGCCTGTCTGGTCCGGGGACTTCAGATAAAGTCTTCATCCCAGAGCCAGAGTCCTCTAGGGAAAAGGCAATTTTATATATATATATATTTTTTTCAAGATATATTTATTTATTTATTTGACAGAGAGAGACGCAGCGAGAGAGAGAACACAAGCAGGGGGAGTGGGAGAGGGAGAGGCAGGCTTCCCGCGGAGCAGGGAGCCCGATGCGGGGCTCGATCCCAGGACCCCGGGACCATGACCCGGGCAGAAGGCAGCCGCTCAATGACTGAGCCACCCAGGCGCCCCGGGAAAATGCATTTTTCCCCACAATTATTTCTTCAGGAAGCTGATGCCACACATGCTGGAAGACAGCCCTCCCTCCCCTTTCTGCTCTCCTCCTTCCCACTTCTCTCCCTTCTGCCCTCCCTCCCACCTTCTCTTCCTTCAGGGCCTGAGACAGGGCCAGATGGAAAGGCCCTGTGTTTCCTTCCCTGGGCTTCACTGCCTTCCCACGACCTCATCTGTCTACAGGGCTTCCCAGTTTCCTCCACTTAGTGGCACCAATGGAACAGATGCTCAGGCCAGTGTCACCGTCACCGTGAGGGAGGGGACAGCAGCTGACCCCAGACGCCGGGCTTTCAGGGAGACACACTAAGACGGCATCGTCCCGACAGCCTGGCACAGAGGACAGCAGAGCTGGGCAAGAGCACGGAGGGGTGGGGACTCTGCCCTGAGTGTGCCAGCTCCAAGGAGGCAGTTCACAGCGGCTCTTCTGATACCAACTGCCACCCCTCACTCCCCGCCCCAGCCTGGGCTGTCCCTTCACAGGAGGCCGGCCTACTGGGAGCCAGGCGGACCTCACAGGCCTGCAGCCTGGGCACCCACACCCCACTAGAGGGGCCACATCTGGGCACCCAGACGCCAGGAACACCATGGGGCCAGCTACCTGTCTGCGCCGGGGGAGGGGGGAACCAGGCTCAGTTTCCCTTAATCCCCTATTGTTTGTTTTAGGAGAGGGGAGACCTCAAGCATCCTTCCACCAGAAAGGACTGGAGCATTGAAAGATCTTGCTTCTCCTTCATCTCTTGTTCTATGTGGGGGGGGGGGCGGGGGGGGGGAGAGGCGGAGCGGGAGACGGGCTGTAGACAGCCGGCAGGCAGGCCTGCCCAGGGAAAGGCGGGTGGCATAAACCGCATGCATAATCTCAGGAGACCACCACTTTAAATCTTAATTGGTTGCCTTTTAAATATCATTTAAGGGCTGGCTTCCCTGCCTCTCTTTCTAGTTAAGAAGGTGTCGTGTCAAACTCTATTACCTTGCTGGATGTCTCTCCCTTAAGTTTAAAAAAAAAAGGGGGAAGGAAAGGAAGAAAAAAACAAAGAAATGGAGGCATCAGCGGTGAATGGAGGGTCGATAAAGCTTTTAGATTTGGAGACGTTTTCCGGGAGCCCATTTCCCGCGGCTAAGAGTTGTTAATGGAGCTTAAGGAATTATCTTAGACTGGGCCGGGCCTGGAGCACCGTATATTTCCCGTGCCTGTTCCCCTGTCGGGTCTGGATATGCTGCTGTCAGACTCGCTTAATGAAAAGTAACGCGCCGCTGATTACAGTTTTATTTGGGCTCTATGTAAAGAGCGCCGTTAATTTAGCATCCCTTCCTTGGCGTGTTTGAATTGGCCACGCCTGAATGGCTGAGAGCCGGGTCCCCAGCGCTGCTCTGAGCCTCCAGCTCCCTCCCTGACAGCCTCCCAGGGAGGGAGGGGGCCCCTGCCCCCGACCACAAGACCTTTCCCCCCAAGCCCCGGCTCTTAAATCCAGGTCCGGGCCCAGCCCACTCCATGCAGGCGCCCTCCTGACCCCCACCCCAGGGCACACAAGCCAGAGGGTGGGTAAGGGTGCCCACAGGGAGCCTTCCAGGGTTCACCCCCCCCAAGGTAAGGAGGAGGAGGAGGTGGCAGCCCCTGGTATGTTGCTGAAGTCCCCCCAGCCCACCTGATGTCAGTATTTCACACAATTTTGCAGATTATTCCAATAAATCTCTTCTGGTCAGTGCCACTGAGGTCGGAGGGCTCCCACAATGTGGGGTTCTGACCCGGGTCTGCGGTCACAGGCCCTGCCCAGAGTGTGAGGTCCCCAGGGCAAAAGGCCTGGGCAGCTGCGGGGGTCCAGACTCAGCGGGATCCCGGCACGCTCCTGCCACCAGCAGCCAGGGGCCCCGGCCCGGGTTCCCACAGCACCGGTCCCGCCCCGCAGCGCTGCCTGCGTCCGAGAAGCCTGATTTCTGCTGGAAATGTCTGGCTTTGTCTGGGGTTGGGGTGGGGGCGCCCGGGCGGCCGCCCTCCGCCGCATTAAAATTCCTGGCGCCCCAGCCGCGGCCGCAACGCGTCTCCCGCGAGACTCCACTTTCGCTATTACTGTCAAGTACCCTTGACTCTTTATTTTTGCCCTTTTATCTATTACAACTAATTCGAGTTCTTTTGCCCTTTTCAGTCTAAGACGTGGGCTTTCTGCAAAGCCTCCCCCTGCCAGCGAGCTCTCGGAGCGCGGAGCCTTTAGAAATTGAGGGGTTTACTGTCAAAATGAAAATTTCACTTCAAATTATCTTGGCTGATGCTTCGCTCGCCAGGCCGGGGGCTCCCGCCGCAGTCCTTCTGACAGGCGCATCAGCGGCGAGCCTCCGAATCTCGATAATATCATCCAAGAGAGCGAAAGTCAATACGGTGACAGCGCGAGGGCGGATACAATCCAATTACCGCGCGGCCCCGACAGGCCTCGGGCTGGGCGCCGGCTCCGCCACTCGGGGTCCGGGACTGCCCCCTTCACTCCAGGGCTGGGGGTCGGGGTCCCGGCTCTCTGACTCGGGGGCCCACTACTCAGGGGTGCCCGGCACAGACCCGAGACCGGCTTCTGGCTGCGCACGCTTTCCCTCTCTTGGTACCAGCTCGCCCCAAAGCCCGCCCCCCCCCCCTCACCCGGGCCCGCCGCGCTCCCTGCCTTCCCGGAGTCTCTCCCCGGGGCCCAGAACCCCACAGGGCCCCAGGCCAGTCCCAACCCGCGCAGGAAAAGGCCCCGCCTCGCGTGTCCCTCCAAGGCTGCCCGCCGGCCCGCGAGAAAACCCGCGTTTCCAGCCGCGCTCTCCTCGACGCTGCCCCCTTGCAGGTCCGCTGACTTGGCCGTCTGTCCTTCCTCGGGACACCTGGGGCTTTAAGGAGGCCCAGCGGGGCCTTAAGCCAAGCGCCGGCAGGCGAGGGCGCGCCTGGAGTCCGGGGCGCCCAGCGCTCGCCCGAAGCCCTCGAGGGGCCCGCACAGGGGGCCAGGCGCCTGCGGGGGCGGGGGTGGGCGGGGCGCAGAGTCGACGGAAGCCGGGGAACGGCGGCTTTCCTTCAGTTCAGGGGTGTGGGCCGCCCGTGGGCTTGGCTCCGAGCGGGTGGGGTTGGGGGACCCGTGTTTCAGAGCGAATCCAGGGGTCTACAAAGTGCAGGAACCCCGGCGAGGCGAGGCAACCCGTGGCCACCCGTCCCCGCGCCGTGGCCTTGACTCGCAGCCCTGCCTTCTCCCTGCAGCCTACTAAATGCTTCCCCCCGCCCCTCCCCCTCCCCACCGAGGCGTGGCCCAGGGTTTTCTGAGCGCCGACGTTGGAGGTGAGGCGGCAGGTCCCGGGAGGGAGGGGAGGCGGGGTTAGGAACTGGGAAGGGCTGAGGAAGGCCGCCTCAGCAGCGCAAAGGACGGTCTGAAAGCAGTCCACAGCAGGAGGGCCTCAGGGCAGGGATGGCATCCCTTCCCCGCTCTCCCCAGGACACAGTTGCGGGGAATTTAGAAAGTTTAAAAGTTATTCTAATTTAGCGAGAGGAACTCCTATTTTCTCAAAATTCTGGAGTCTAGTATACTGGGGAGAGTTTAAAAGTCTTGGGCCTCTCATCCAGTTTCATTACGGAGTCCAGCAATCCTGGAAGGATACTGTAACTCTTCCTTCAAAGAACTGGCTTTCCATAAACGTCTGGCGCTCTGCCAACTTCCCTGAGGACTCTGGGCTGAGGACCCCTCTTCCACTCAATCCTCTGGCAAGAGCTCTAACCCCCGGGTTTGAAACGTGTTCATTTTGCAATGCAAACACCATCACTCGGTTTATTGGTTTTGTTATATTAGCCTCTGAAGCAGGCAATTATTGGTGTGAACATACATTTAAAAAAAACATAATTTTATCGAGTTAAGAGTGTGCAATAGTGTGAACGAGGTGGAGTGCTGTTGGCCAATGTGCGGAGGATGCAATCAGGTCCACGGGCTGAGGGGTCTTCAGGAGGAATACCGGCGCGCCTCGAACCCGAAAGGAGACAGCCAAGCAAACAAAGCCTCAGAACGGAAATGTCTTCTCCATGTAAACTTTCGGACGTAAACTTTATGCTTCAGGGTGGCTCCCTTCTGCTCGGAGAGCAGCCCTACCCGATGGGTCCCGGAGTTTGGGAGTGGCCCGAACTAGTGCATGTCCAGGTGGGGTCGGTGGACCTGGCAAGGCGGCTCCTGGGTGCTGGTCTGTGGCCTGGAGAGGCCGAGTTCAGCTCCTCCTTCCACGGTGGGTTGGCTGCCTGAACTTCGCCAAGCTCTTGTCCTGCTTTGGAAACTTGGTAGAAAAAGAGTCTGCGACCTACAGGCCTGCAGCCTGAGCCTCGGCCCCTCCTCTGCTCAGGGGCGGGGCCACTTAGGCGCAGAAGGGCTTGCCGCCGGTCTTGGGGATGGCCAGCAGCTCCTTGGCTGCTCCCGAGGCTGGGGCGTCATGGGGTGCAGCGGCGGGGAAAGCGCGCGCCAGGGGCGTAGTCAGCACGTTGGCGCCTGCCCCCAGCGAGCGTCCCAGCGGCCCTGGGTCCAGGAGGGCACCCTTGGCGGTGGCCCAGGCCTGGTTCAAAGTGCTGTGCCTGAGGATGGGGTCGTGAAAGACCCCATCCACCCAGTTTCTGAGACTGGTTACCGGGGAGTCCTGGTGCCTGTCCAGGGCACCAGTGGGGGCCGGGGCCGCAGGTGAGGACGAGGCAGGAGCCAAGGAAGTGGCTGCAGGGGCAGCGGGACCTTGACGCTTGAGCATGCATGACGGAAACTCAGTCTGGCTCAGGGCGGTGGCAGCGGCGGTTGCCGTGTGAGCCAGGGACCAGATGCGTGGCTTGGCCTCGAGGCCCGCCGGTGCCCCAGCCGGCACAAAGCCCAGCTTGGCCTCGCAAGCCTGCGAGCTGCCCCCCGCAACAGGCTGCTGCTCAGGCCCGGCCGCTGTGCTCCGGAGGCGGCTCCTGGCCCTCTCCAGGTCCTGGTCCAGGGCCGCCCTGCCACCGGCAGCCAGGGGCATCCGGAGGGTGCCCGAGGCCTCCTTTCCCAGGGCGCTTAGACCATCCGGCGCGGCAGGGATGCGCTCCAGACCGCCATCCAGGGGCGGGAAGGGCGGTTTCAGCTCGCACTCAGGGGGCTCCGCCTCCAGTGGGTCGAAGTCCTCCAAGTCAGTGAGCTCTAGATCCTTTCCCTCTTTGCCCGCGGACTCTGCGCAGGACAGAAAGAGGGGCCAGTGCAGGAAGAGAGGCGGGAGCGAATCACAACCCCGCTCTTCCTTCCTAGCTCTGCGCCCACGGCCCGACCCTGGAGCTAGGAAAAGCACCCACAGCCTTTCTTTGTCCCTGGCACCTGCTCGGGATATTCCCTACCCCCCCAGGGGGCAACAGAGGGCTAGTGATTTCCTCCTCAGACCGACAGGGGCAATGGTAGGGTGGGTGTGTCTCATGTTTTAAACGTTGTTTTGGGTTTCCTCAAGCCTGTTCCCAGTTAGTACTGCAAGCCCCCTGGGCTCAGGGTCTCTCTTGGGCCAGCTCATTCATTTGCTGCCCACGCCCTTGAAGTTTGCTTTTACTACCCCAGGTTCAATGTCTTTAGAGGTCCTAGAACCCCAGAAAAAGGCACAGGGAGTCCCTGACCTCAGTGCCCCAGCGCCAGCATGGCCGACCTCCCACGCACCTTCATTCTTGGTGCTCTTGAGGGGCTCCTCCCTGGCTTCCTCTTCCCCCCCTTCTTCCTCCTCGCCCTCCGGGAAGGGTCGCTTCTCGTCTGCGCATTTGTTCCTTGGCGGCCACGTCATCTTGTTCTCCTTCTTGAGGCGCCGGCGCGCGTTGGCGAACCAGGTGGAGACCTGCGTGAGGGTCATCTTGGTGATGATGGCCAGCATGATCTTCTCGCCCTTGGTGGGGTAGGGGTTCTTGCGGTGCTCCTGCAGCCAGGCCTTGAGCGTGCTGGTGGTCTCGCGCGTGGCGTTCTTCCGCCGCGTGCCGCTGTCCATGGTCCCGTACCTGGAGACAGGCTGGGCAATGGGGTGCCGGCCGAGACCCTTGCGGCGCCGGCGGCCGGAACGAGGCCCATGCAGGCTTTCAGTCCCCATCGTGGGGGTGTGTTTATGGTGGTAAGACTCCGGTGGGACCCAGGCCCCTACCCCTTGCCACTGCCTATGGGCACTGCCTTTTGTGGCCTGAGAGTGAAGATGTTCTATCTGATTAAACTTACAGGGAGCCTGGGCTCCTTCCCAGCCAGAGTGGTTGGGGTGGAGCGCTCAAGGCCTGGCCAGGTCTCGGCCACTCTACTTAGACATCTATTCTTTGAGTTCCTTTACGGGTCCTCTCTCCTACCCTTTGATCCCCAAACCAGAAAGCACATCACAGAAGTGTGAACCGAACTGTATAACACCCATGGGCAGAAATGGCCATTAGTTCCCATAGGGAGAAAGTGCCCAGACTGCCTACTGTGGACTTCCTGCAGTTAAGTTTATAATTGTTACCCTCCTCTTGCCAAGATGGGGCATGCCGTCTTTGAATGGGTTCCACTGGACTCCCCCTTCCAGCTCCCACCATAGGGGAGGGTGGACGGGTCCCACACCACATGGGCTGCACCTCTTGGGTGGGGCAGGTGTCTGAAGCCCGGGCAACAAGACTTGGCTGCCCGGAAAACCGCGTCGCAGCAAGGGCTTTGGGAGTCCAGACAGCGTGGGGAGCAGGGGAGGGGAGGCCGGGACGCATTTTACCCCTATGGGGCATGTCTTGCCTAGGAGGTGGGGCTCGGACTAACCCAAGGTCAGCGGGAGCCGGACCCAAAGAATGCCCCTCCTCCTGTCTCCCAACCTTTCACAGGGGGTCGAGGAGTTGGTGGTGGTGGGGAGTTTGATGGCTGAATAGAGCGCAGGGGCCCTTGCGGGGGGCAGTGGAGGTGGGGTTCTGTCCCTCACCTGTCGTAGGGGTACTGGCCCAGCGCCGGCTCGTAGGGATAGTAGGCAGCAGCCGCTGCAGGCGCGAGACCCGCATGCGCAGATCCAGGCCCGTCCTTGGAGTCGAAGCCATTCTGTAGGATCCCAGGAGCCTGGGGTCGCAGCTTCCGGGCAGTCCGCGACCCAGCTCCACCCCAGCCCCCAGGCACCTAGGCTCCTGCATGCTTTGCACAGACCCCTGGGCAGCCTCACCAGCCATCATGCCCCCAGACTCTCTCGGGCCCAGGGAGCAAAGGAACCTCCAGAAGGGGAGGGAGAATGAGCAGAGTTGGGGGGGTTGGGGAGTAGGAGAGAGGACAATGAGATTGGAGGAAGAAAGGGGCAGAGAAGAGGCGTGGGGGGCTGGGAGGCATCAGAGGAGAGGAGGGTGAGCAGGACACAAGGCAAGGGAGGAAGGAGGGAGAAAAATGGGGGTGGGGCAAGAGGGTGGGCATGGAGCGGGCAAGGAGGGGAGAGGCCAGGAGAGGGCTAGCTGAGTGGTGGCGGGTTGGGGGGAGAGGAGGAGGGGGGCCGGGAGGAGTGAGGGGAGGGGAGCTCAGTGGGGGAAAGCCTGGGAGGTGGGGAGAAGGGGCGGGCACTGGGCCGGTGATGTGGTCAGAACTGCCAGGTTGGCCCTCCCCTCGGGGCTGGAGGTGTGCTGAGGAACTGGGCTGGGAGGCGCACAGTTGAAGCAGCAGCGAAGGTGTGCTCCTCCCACCCCGACCAATCTGGGGTTAAGGGCACTGGCGCCCCTGACTCCAGAGTTCCGGGAGGAGGCTTGGCAATTGGGGGGGGGGGTGGGGGCGTGGCGTGGCGGGGTAAGGTTTCAGATAATTCCCTCCCCTTACCAGCGAGTAGAAGGCTGACGCCTCAGAGCCATAGGTCATGTAGTTGCCATAGCCCTGCGAGCCGCCATAGGGGCCCCCGTAGACGCCAAGCGCAGCGGCCGAGTTGAGTTCGTGGCGCGCGGTGGCCAGCAGCCGGCTCTCATAGACCGGGCAGTAGACAGGCGCCTGGGCCGAGGCGGCGGGCCCGGAGTCTGCCAGCGTGCGGCCACCTGACTCACAGCATGTGCTCAGCGAGTTGGTGGTCATCAGGAACTGGAGGAGAGAGGGCCGCGAGGAAGGGCCGGCAACCCAGGCGCCAGGCTGGGGCTCTAGGCCTCCACCTGCCCGACCTTCGCCCAGGAGTGCGTGCCTGTGGCCTCAGGCGCATGGCCATCCACACAGGGCCACGCATTCCTCCCTGCCGCGACTCTGATCAGCCAGGCCTCCTCCAGCCACTTGGGGTCCAGCCCATCAGGTCCTGGCGTTTTCACACCCTCCCCTGGGGTCTCTGTGTGTGTGTGTGGGGGGGGGGGGTTTCCAAGACCAAGCACGCCCTTCTGTGCCAGATCTCTCCCGGGTCCCCGGGCTCCTCTGGGGCGAAGCCTCAGAGCCTGGGGTGTGGTGGGGGTCAAACAAAGTGGGAGAAATGGAGGCCCCCCCGCCGCACGGCAGATTCTCTCAGCGCCGCTGCTCACTGCAGGGCTGGATGCAAGGAGCGGGCGGCACAGGCCGTGCTCTCTGGGAAGCGACACCGGGTCGCTAGACAGCCCGCCCGCGGTGTGTCCGGCCGCGCTCCCTGCACCCTCGTGAGGCCCCCTTACCTGGGGTGCGGAGGAATAGGGGTATCCAAACTGCGGGTAGGACATGGCGGGCACCGCCTGGGGCCGGCGGGCGGGGCCGGTGGGGTCCTGCGCGCGGGGGCCGGCGTGGCGCGGCCACTGCTCCGGGGCCGCCGGCTCCTAGGCGCTGGTAGGGCGAAGCAGAAGAGCGGGTTAATTCATCCACACGCCCCGCAAACTTTTCTAACCCGGTAGGAAAGTGGGACGCAGCGGCCTCGGCGAGCCTTTTAGCTTCACATTCCCGAGACTCGAGGGGGTTCTGGGACCAACCGGCCTCGCAGCGGCGACACAAATACATATTTTGCAAAAAAGAAAAAAAAAAAAACGAGTTGCGCGAACCCGTCAAGTCAGATGTGCTTGGCTTTAAGCGGCGGAGGTGCTGACGTCAGCCCACGCCGCGCAGCTCGGCCGGGCCGCAGACGTGCGGGTCACTCGTGGCGGCCGGGCGGCGGGGCGGGGACGGGCCGGGGGCGCCACGCGGGGCGAAGGGGCCAACAGGCTTTAATAAATGAATTTCATCCGTGGAGTCAATATCGCCCCGACGAATGCTGTTTCTCCTTAGTCACCGAGGACGGGAAGCACTTTTAATTAGAAATTAATTAATGAGCACCTGCTCCTTCCCGCCCCACTGTAATCATTAGTCTCAATTACAAATGAGACATGTGAAGGGACACACGACTGAGTCTTCACTGAAGATGTAATCAACAGTTAAAATTAGCCCGGCGCTGGAGCAGGCGGCCCGCCGCCCGGGCCTCCGCGCTCCGCTCCAGGTGGAGGAAGGCAGCTTCGCAGGCCGGCGCGCGGCTCCCGCCATTGTTTAGCTGGTTAGCCGCACCTCCTCCCGCCAGTTCAAACCCAACTCCGGAGCGGAGTTCCAGAACCAAATGCGGCTGCAAGTGTCGGCGTCTGGAGGTCAAGATGCCCTCAGGTGTGTGGTTCCTGAGGCCCTTCCCAGAGCCATCCACTCCAGGGCTCCGTGGCCCAAGCGCTGCGGGGCTTGGCGACTCTCCGCCACCTTGTCCCCAGGGAACGCCCCCCTCCTCCGTCCCACCCCGGGGCCTGCGGGTTCCTGCGCGCCGAACCGCCCTCCCTTTCTTCTTCCACCCCCTTCCGCGGGCCGCCCTCCCTCAGCCTCCCCTAACCCCTCGCGGCTCAACCCGGGACTGCCAGGCATCCCCGGGCGCTCGGAAGAGCAGGTTTTCCAACTCGGCACCGGGGCCCCTCCCGCTACGCTTGCTCCACCTGGCGACCCTCAGGGTTAGGTACCGGGGAGAGGGGGCGCTGGGAAGCCCATCCCCGCCCGTTTTGCATAGCTCCGTGCCCGGGGCGCACGGAGCAGTCTGGGGAGATGGCCGAGTGCCCACCCCAGACTTCCCCCGTCCAGTCCTGGTCCTGGGACCTTGCCGGAATCCAAAACGGAGGCGAGCGCGCGGGCGGAAAAGGGGCGCCCGGGCACCCCGAACTCGCTCCCCGCCTTTTATGCCGCCGCTCTCCGGGGGCCCGGGCTCGCCCCTGCTGCTTTCGCCCCGCTCGGCCGACCGCTGGAGGGGAGCTGTGCACAGCGGTGCTGTGCAGACTTGCTCGGAAAGATTCCTGGGTTCAGACCTGTGAATCGCCCCAGGGTCACCCTCTAATTAATGATGACGTTCTCGCCCTCTCCCCAGCTGCAAACCTGCCTCCCAGAAACGAAATCTGCCCGCTCTGACAGCTCGGTTGAAGGTGATTGATGACTATCTGGAGACCACAGTACGCATCATATGATATCTGCTGCGTAATTGCTTTAATTTACAGATGAAAATAAGAGCTCTCCGATCGCGGTGAACCACAGCCGGCCACGTCCGAGCTGCTTGTGAAGGAAAATCATCGGAAATAATGAATAGCCGGTCCATGCAAATTATTCAGACAGTTTAAACGTCTGTAGCCGGAAGAGATATATAAAGAACACGAGTCAAATGACATTAATAATTGTTTCTGAATTCTGTATCGATCTCGTGGCCGCCGTGTTTCTTTCTCACCTGAATTGCTAATATCACCTCCTGTAAATAATAAGAAACTAGCCACCGGGGCTTCTCGGGCAGAAATGAACCTCTCTCCCTCTTCCTCCTCGGCTCCTCCCCTCCCCCGTCCTCCCTCCTCCCAACTCCTTCCAGTTCTCCGGCTTCTGTTGCCCCTTTTCTGAACATCCTCCTACTTTCCATTATTTATTGTTTACAAACAGCTCGCTCTCTCCCGGTAATGAGGCCAGGGCGAGGGAGGGGCAGGAGCCCAGGGTGGCCAAGGGCTCAGGGAGCGGTAGTCACCGACGAAGGATGCATTAAGCACCTTTTCCTCACCCCACTCCCCAAGGCCCAACCCCGGCGATTGCAAGAGCCCAGGCGGCGGGGACGACAGCCAGCGCCCAGGTCCCAGCAGCCCCGCGGCTCCCGGCTCGGGTTTGCAGAGCAGCGCACCCAGGCCCGTTCCTTGCGCGGCCACAGCTTGCAGGGAACGGCGCCCCCTGAACACGCCACTGTTTATCTTCTGAGCAGAAGTGCCCACCTTTGCGCACTGCCCCTTGGTGGGGGTCTCTGGGGGAGGGGTGTCAGGGACTACCTTTGACCACCACTGCAATGTTTTCCTTTCCTGCCTGGGAGCCTAAATAGAAGCTCCCAGTCCCCACCCACCTATAGCCCGGTTTTCCCGGGCAGCCCTTTCTTCTAATCCAGAAATCAAGCTCACCAGCTACTTTCCAAGGCTGTTGCACACTGATCCTCCTCCGCTTTGTGCTGCCCCAGGCCCGCGACACGGGGGCCTGGACGGCCACCCTGTTTGGGGAAGCTCTGTGCTGCCCGAGGAGTCTAGCGGCCTTGCCAGCGCTCACCCAGGCCCTGCTGTCCAGTCCTGGATTAGGCAGGCCTGTCTTCATCTGGAGCACAACAGGACATCCCACTGGCACCTGCACCCTGGCTGAGGCCGGCCTCCTGGAACCGGGATACTTTCTGGGTTCTCTCTGTCCCGTAGAAGATACCGACCAGAATAATATCCGAGTGCCCTTTCCTGAAAGGCCCAGCCTTGAGCTGAGGCACCGGAGGTTTCCCTCCAAGAAAGGATAAGGCAAGAGTGTCAGCATCTCAGGTATCAGCAGCTAAATGCGAGGCGCAGGCAGAACCCGCGTCCCTCGAGGGACCCTCGGTTCCAAATACACCCAGGAGAGATTCCCCACGGACAGGGCAGCAACTCAGCTTCAGTGAGTGCCCCCACTGGCCTGTTGAGTGCTAAGAAGCCCATGGCGAGGGGGCCTGAGGATAGTTAGCGCCAAATGTTAGAGGCCTGCGGGTTGCCCTTCTTGCCGGAAGGTGCTGTAGGCCACGGAGGGCCTCTAGGAGATAGGCCGCGCCCTGATATTCTCCCCCCATCCCCGAGACCGACTGAGGCCAGGCGCTCCCGGTCGGTTCCCTAAGTCGTCCCCCGGGGCCACCTGGTTCTCCGCACCCAGAGCCGCCAGGGGCTCTCTCCAGCCCAACCAAGTTGACCCCAGGCAGAGGGCGGAGGCTAGAGCGCGCAGAGCCAGGCAAGGGCCTTTGCCGAGGCGTAGGGCCAGCCCTTGGGGCCCCTGTGCCCGCCCACTGCTCGCGGACACCCGGGCGGGGTGTGGGCCTGAAAGGCGCTCTGGATATCGGTGGCGCGGCACTCGCGAGCCCCGAGGTCGGCAGGTCACTCCTTCGCGGCCGGTCCTCCGGGTCTCAAGCGAAGTCAGGAGGTCGAGCTGCAGGCAAGCGCCTTGCATCCTGCTCCCGAAACGCCTCCATTCCAGGTCGGCTCGCTCTGGCTCTCCCGCTGCGCCCCCGCAGCTCGCCCGCAGGCCGCCGCCCGGGCGGGAAAGGCGCGCAGTCGGGGCGTCCGGGAGCAGGCCCGGCTGCCCGGCGTTGGCCTCCGCGCCCCGCGCCGCCCCCGCACCCCATTTCCACAACTTGCAGCGGACGCGGCGGCCTCTGGAGACCCCAGCGGCTGGCAGCAAACTTTGTGCCCTCCGGCGCAGGAGCGATCCTGGCAAAGTTTGCGCGGTCGAGCCCACTCCCTACCTGCGCTGGGGACGCGCCCGCCCGCGCTGCTCCGGCGCCGGGGCCGCGGGGAGCAGCGCGCAGCCCGGGACGCACCGGGGAGTCGTCGCAGTCGCCGCCGCCCGCGCCCCTCGGCGGCCGCGCCGAGCCTCCGCCTCCCCGGAAGGGGGGAGGGGTCTCGGAGCCCCGGGGCGGGGGCGGGCGCGGGGACCTCGCCTACCTGCGGTGGCGCCCGGCGACTGCCGGCTGCCCGCGAGGGCTCTGCGCGGCCGCTCGGCGCGCGCGCTCCGGCGGGGAGCAGGCGACAACTAATGGAGACATTTCCAGGCGGAGCACCTGGCGAGCGGAGCGCGCCCGCGTCCCCAGGCGCCGCGGTCGTCAGCCGAGCCCGCACCGGCGTGACGTGGGCGAGCGAGCGCGCTGCTCCCACCCGGCCGCCCATTAACGCTTTCCCCCGCGGGCGCCGCGCGCTTGCCAACTTTCCCCTCCGCCTGGCCTGTGCGCGGGGTGCGTGGGGCGTCTGAGCTGGGCCGAGGGCGCCCTGGGGTGGGGGCAGGGATGCCGGGCTCCAAGAAGACAGCCCAGCCGTAGCAGGGCAGCGGGAAGGCGTGCCGCCTTGATTTGGCCGAAACCTTGGCGACCCTGGGCTCTTCAGGGGCTGTCGGCTGCCCCCTTCGCTCCTTCCCCGCCCCCCAGACTCCGCTGTCTGGGGCCAGAGGAGCCGCACCGGAGACAGCTTCACCGGTTCTTGGCCCAGTTTTCCTGAGTCTCCCCTTGGTCGTGGTACCCTCCTGCTCTGGAGAGCTGGGCGAGGGCGCAGCTGCGCGCAGGCCTCCTCGGAGTGGACTAGGCAACCAGGCTCTCAGGCCCTTGGTTTCCTTCCCTGCCCTCCCCGCCCCCAGCATTGCCCCTTCACACTAAGGGAGGCCAGCCTCACCGGCTCCTGTCCACGCCGGCCCCTGACCACTCGGGCTGTCTAGGCGGCCG